GTGTTTCAGAAATCTCAGAGATGTTGGCGTGCATGCTATTGGGCCATGAACAGTGCTGATTTTACACTGTTTTCAATGGGGCTTGAATTAGTGGACTGTACCCGTAAGGTTGATGTGTTGAATGTTTCTTACCGAATGTGGTATTCATGACGACGACCACTTTCAGCCCTCCTCTGTCTTCGTCTTTCATCAACAGTATCTTACCGACCTCTGCTGGATCAGGGTCGTCTGCAGAGGAACGGGACAATAGACCTACGCTGTGAATGAGCGTCACATATAGACGGTGCACAATAGTTTATTTTCGAGAAACTGACTCTTTCATTTTGGAACGTTGCAGGGACGACATAATACCTCGTATACATGTACATACATTTTGGGAAGGAAGTCCAGTAACCTGTGGTTTACCAATGCCCAAGAAAACGGAGAAACATTCCTCTCATGATTTGTGGGGGGGGTTACTTTCAAATCTAAAGGCTATTGTGAGATTCTTGCAACTGCGCATTAATGTCTGTGGTATCTACCAAATTCCGCCGAAATGTCCACGAGACAATTAAAGACTTATAGGACTAAGAAGAAAATGTGCAATCTTTGAGTTTGACCTTCCTTCATGCATGCACCAATTATATATTATGAGTTGAAATGGATCTGAGTTGAGCCAAATCCATTCATGTATGCATTTTGATTCATTCAACACTGCCCTTAAACCTTGCCACAGGAACCCCCTTTTATTACACACAAATACATGTACACAGTTATGTATATACCGTACATGGACGCTCCATATGCTTCCAAGTAGGCTCTACTGCACTGTTTGCCCAGATTTGCTTCTGCACGTCCACTGAAAAATTTCTTTCAGCCAAAGTCATTGCGTCGGCAACTTGTTCAAGTCTCGTTCCAAGTCACGCCACGAGATTGTTTTCCACGTCAAATAATCTCAACTTGACAAAAGCAACTAAAGTCTCGCTGGCGTCAAGTCGGCAATTTGAGTCAACGAACTTTTCCTAACCCTGACCTGTCAGGGCCACGTTCAATGGCGCAAGACGCGCTAAAGGTATACAAGTATGTACAGTACACGCAAATGGGAATGGCGCTGCATCGTGCCCCGACTGTGGAACTATTTCCGTGATATAGTTTCGAAAATAACGAGTCCTGGGAATAAAGCAAACATGTAAACACGTCCTTGGTCAAAGACGACAACGCACGAATACAATGGAACTGCAAAAGTTACCCTTGGCTCCTCCCCCTCCTCCTCCACAAAAAAGTGAAAAAAAAAAGAAATTCGAAAAGAAAGTAACGAAAAAGGAACAATCAAAGGGATAAAAATCACGAATGTACTTGATAATACCTTCAACTTCTTCCGTCAAGGAAGGATCCAGAAAAAAATTTTTCGGGAGGCCAAACTTTTTTTTTGGAGGGGGGGAGGAGTTAAACATTTTTACATGTGACCTTTTCTGGCCTTCGGGGGGGTGTGAGGCTACTTTTTTTCATTAAATGGGAAGAAAAACATAACTGAAAAATCGCCTTTCTCTGATTTTTCAGAAATTCTCATTTTTGGGGGGCTCCTCAGTTCTTAGCAGATGGTTTTATTGCCAGTCCCCCCCCGAAAAAATTCGTGGTTACGCCCAATAACTCACAGGCAGTAGCTAGGATTTTACTAATGGGGGAATCAAAGGGGGCACCAGCATCTTATGGGGGGCACCAGCTTTCAGTGGTGTGGTTTTTTGGGGCAAGTTTTTGTTAGCCTTGTTCAATATCCAATGCATCCATTTTTTTCGGGGGGGGGGCGACGGGAATTTGTGGGGGAACGTGCCCCCAAGACCCCCCTGTGGCTACGCCACTGCTCACAGGAAGAACAAAAGGAAGCAAACAAGGACTGCGAACTTTTCAGTTACGAACGCAAACTAAACCCATACAAGTATTCATTAATTTTCGTAGGGAGCTTGCGCTTGTGCATCGATTCAAAGGGTAATAATGAAAGTCGTTATCAAAACATGATAAAAACAAAATAGAGTCTTATCGTAATGGAAAAAAGCCCTACATTGTATCCTGTGGTGTGCAGGTCAATGATTTGTGCACTGTAAACAGGCTTGACTTCTTGCCTCTTCTTTCAAAGCAAAAGCATCAATCATTATGGACTAGGCTATTCTTAAATATCGTGTAATGTTTTATTAATCTTATTGTTATGTAGAAAACTTTGACCCAGTTTCATTTCATTGGAGAACAAAATAAAAAAAAAACTACAGGTGGTTGTTGTTAAAGCAACAACCACAGAGCTGTTTCGGATTTCAAGTTGTTTAATAGGAAAAAATAAATATAAATGAGGTCAATCAGATATATAAAACTACCAAAGTCGACTAGTGGAAGAAAACGTGTACAAACCCTATGGGGAAAAGTCTTAGAAAAAAAAGTTTAACGAAAACAAAAGCTGTTTCGCCGAAATGCCGAAACAGTTAAAAAAAGATCTAGTTTAGACGGCAAGATTTGTTTGGATGTTTGTCCCGAGGCTGTACACCTGGGGAGAAATCTCTGGATCACCGCTTACCACAGTATCCCCACATGGTGCCCACGTCCACCAAGTTGTTGTCTGTCACCCACTTATCCCAGTCGAATCTGGGATAGTCGAGGTGAGAGATTATCTTGGATCTGCCACCACCGTCTGTATCTGCGCCTCCTTTCTCTCCGTTCATGTTGACTTCTTTGACATCATCCTTGACACCATTTGCATTTTCAGATGCTGCAGTGGTCCTCGCAGAAATCTGCCCAACTGGCTCTTTGGGGGATTTTTCCTGTTTTTCCTGATCCGAAGCCACGATGACATCAATTAAACTGTCGATGTTCACCACTGCACGGGCACTGTCGTTCCCGTGGGGATCGTTTGCCAAGGAGGAACCTTGACTTAGCAAGTCATCTTTGGGATGAGTGCCCTGATCCCTTAGAATTTTCTCCTTCGTCCGCTTAGCTGTGTCGACCTCCTGGTTGAGGATATGTCTGGAGCCGTCGGCCGAATTGGACTTGGACGGTCCGATGTCGTTCGAAAATTTGGGTGGGCCTAGCTTGTGAGCAGAGTTATGGGCGTTGGCCTGAAGTGTCTCGTCCGCTGGTGGGTGGTTGAAGAAGGTAAGATACACGCCTACAAAGGCCAACACGGTGATCATGCCGCACGCGAAGCCGCGTTTGAATGTCATTTTCATCGTCTGGAAACAGTCGTCGTACGGAGAGCAAGATCAGAATGTAACCCCGCTGTGGAACACTGTCATGGGCCTGGAGTAGCATTACAGGAAGTTTTGAACAAATTTAGATTTCGTTTATCAAATAACAAACACATGTAATTACAAGCAGGAAAATGATCAGATGAAACCCATAGCAAGAATTTATTAAATTATTTCAAAGAACCTATCCCTATTCTAAAACCCATCAACTTGATGACAACGAATAGCTCTCAAGTTTCAAAACCGGGTCAAAACCGTTGCAACTTAAGGTGCAACGTTACCGGGGGTGAAGGGCAATGCCCCCTCGCCCAAAAAGGTTTCTTTCTTTTTTCCCAGATAAAAGGCCATGTTTTGGGTTTATTCAGATTTCTTTCCTTACAGAAGTGTGAAAAGTCTTACTTCTCAGAAAAGCTACGAATGCTTACATGATAAAAATTTCAAATGTCTGCCCCCCCCCAAAAAAAATTGGTTCTAGATCCGCCCATAGACGTTTTAAATCGAATTCATGAATTAGTGTTCACATTAGATAGCAGTGACAACGAAGTCATGGTAATGCCCATGAAAAAACCACAGAAGTGCAAGTGCGTGTACCATTGAGGAAAGAAGACGGGTGTACATTGTATACTCACCAGTGTGCGTGCCCGTCAACATGTTTTGTGCCAAAACGTCCAAGTGCACCACATTCGCAGCTCCTGGGTTGAACACATTTCTAAAACTGAATGTATGTCAAACAACAGACAAAAGGTAACCAGGGGACTCGAAATGGGCAAGTTGCAAGTGTGTCAAATGCCGTCTGCAACGTTTATTAAAAAGCCAACTTGTAACACAAACAGAGCAACTTGTTGATCTTTCATCCTGGGCAGTGATAAGGGAAACAGCTGATCGTTTCAGTCCAAATTCCGATTGTTTCCCTGCAGTTTCGCAATGCATACATTATTTTTCTACACGTGAACCCATGAAACGGATTCCCGCTGACATGTGACACTTCAATTGCATTGGTTTTGTTGACCGATTTCTCCTCGAGCTGTTTGGAAATGATACAGATGTAATGCTCTATGCGCACACTACACTTACACGTGTATTGCGGGTTGTTTTCTTTGCTCTGCCAACATTGTATGTAAATTTCTGGAGGGGTCAATTCCACGAAAGTTCGGCCGTGAGCGTATTGTGCACGAACGGCACTCGTGATGTGTATGGCTTTGGTTTCATCGTGGTTGACCGCGGATGTGACCGTGACAAATTGACCGCTCAAGAGCGACTAAGCGTGGAAAAAAATCCGGCCAATTATAGAAGCAGCTTTTGCCGTCTGGTGAACGTTAACAAAACGCTGACGTCCGAAACCTATTAACGTGTACTAGGCTTTCGAGTGCGGTTCACACCATGCATTCCTATCAACTCAAGTACAAATCCGAATAAATGTTCTTTCCAAAAACGGAATATACCTTTTGCTAGTGATTTTCATTGTATCTTTTCATCTTTGTGTTCAAAATAAACCACACAATATCACCAAAAAAAACCCAAACCCCCCCCCCAAAAAAAACCCATACAATATGATTTAAAAGTGAGGGGTATTGGCGTCGCGGGGGATTAAAGGGGGCGCCTCGCCTTCTCCAGAAAAAAATGAAACAATAACTCCCACCCCCAACATAATACCAAAAGAAAACGAAAAAAAAAATGAAAATCGCAGATTTTGGTTTGGGGAAAAACATTTTAAAATTACCTCTTCCACTGTTTAAGGTTTATAACTTTGTTAGAGATGAAGCCCCCCCCAAAAAATACTGTGTGCAGATTTTTTAATTAAAAAGAAAAGTTGATTCCTTTTGACAGTTTTTGTGGTTTGATTGGCAGGAATAGTTTTTTCCACCAAAGCAAGCGGCGTGGAACCCAACATCATTTTCGTTAACAGCCTATATATATAATAATAAGCCTATACAATAATAAATACAAGCCAGTGCTAAATATGGCTGGTCATTAAGAAGCGTACTCCTACGTAACAGTAATTCCGATGTCACACTTTTAAATCACTCGGTGATCCAGTGAATGACATGAATGTTATCTGAAAACTTTGCTGCAGCTATTTTATTCCAATGTTGGATCCCTCGTACATGAGTACGAGGACTCCAACACAAGACAAAACCCATCCATCATGTCCTAATGTCAACAAGTTCTTCTTGTTGAAGTCCTCGTACATGAGTACGAGGACTCCAACACAAGACAAAACCCATCCATCACGTCCTAATGTCAACAAGTTCTTCTTGTTGAAGTCCTCGTACATGAGTACGAGGACTCCAACACTGTTTATATTTCCAAAACTGCGTGATATTTAGTTTTAACTCAGGCTAACATGAATTCATCCATCTTCTTAATACTAAGGAAAAGCCTAGAATCAATTAACAACTATACAAGGAAATGATTCTCGGATTCCAAAGATTGGAACAGTCTTAGCGAAAAGTCTCCAAAACCGAATACAGTCAAATTTAAACAACAGTCTTAATGACCCTTCTTTGGAACATAGGTGATAATAGGTTTTGGTCGAGTCCTGAAAACAATTTTCCGTTTGATGGCGGCAGACACTTTATAATGAACATCTGTCTTCCCCCCTTCCTCCTCTTGTGCCACAGTTGCTTTGGTAACCACATCTTCATCTTGGTCAGTTTCCATAGATACAGGTGAGTTGTCATGTTCAGTGTCCTTTGGTGTGGGCTTGGTGTTTTTTATAAGAACGATGTAAGGTTTGTCCAGGGAAGACACCTTGCCATACAAAATGTGATGCCCAATAATCATGATCGGTAGGCCCTGAAAAAAAAAAATGAACAAACAGATAAATAATTTGACAAAAATAATGTTTTGGAACTCTCTATTCAACATAAATGAAAAACAAAAATAAACAACTTTACACACTATCAAATTTGATTTGATTGTTACAATTTGATCATCAAACTATATGAATTTCTAAGAGACTGGACAAGCATAAAATTCTACATGTAAATCACTTCGAAAAAGAAAGCTACCCATCTACACTCGTGAATTCCCCAGCCTGCATACATCTATAAAAATCTTCAAAACTCATTGCCTTCAATGGAATGTTTCCCCAAAAGCAATTGCATTCATTGGAAAATAAACCTTTTGAATGGGAATGACCAGTAGTCAATTGACACGTGGACCAACCAGGCCTGGCTAAGGACTCTGACATCCCACTTCAGGGGGCCACCCCAAAATGTCATATACATATTTGTTCCAATTAAAAAATATAATCTTTGTCCCACCCTCTTAATTGATTCACAAACAATAAAGTTAAACATTTCTTGGGCCTAGGACTTTCTATGACCTTAATCCAGCCTTTGGCAGAGCTTACACTCCTATTTCGCATTTCGAACATCTCTTGGATATTCTACATTTAGATTTTAATTATGACTCCCAACTCATAACTGCTGCCTTCTGGTACATTTCTAAGGCCCTTTTGAACAACAAACAAGCTAGGTTTTTTGTAAATGATCTACATATTTGGTAAGCTGTTGCAAATACACATGTACCTTCTTGTTGAAGTGGAGGTCCCCAATAAAGTTTCCTGCAAGTTGTTCATTGCCAGAGCATTCCAACTGTCCTTGCATCTCTATCAACATCCATTCTGGAATGCCACTTTCTGGGCTGGCACTTCAAAAAAAGAATGTGAGAAAAAAATGGCATCTTTTTCATTTGAAGTGTTAGTGTGTAACCCCCCCCCTCAAAAACAACAACAACAACAACAACAAAGGTTTAGCAACATGTCTCCCCAGTTCCCCAGTTATACCACTGGTCAAGCCACAAGACAAAGCCCATCCATCAGGTCCTAATGTCATTTTAGTCATCATAAGGTTATGATTTTGACAATCCTTACTTGAACCCTTTTACTGAACATGTAATATCTACATGTATCCTTATTTGTAGGAAATCCTAGAGCTGGATTTTTGTTTCGCTCAATATTTGAAGTTTTTAAAAGGTGTGTATGAGTCCAGAATGTTCATTGCAGCCTCGAGCAGTCTTGCCTTTATACAAGAGTCATCTTTAGGACAGCCTTGCCAGAAAATATGACAGTCTTGCTAATTTTGTGATAAAGAACTTGGTTCTAACAAGTAAGGATTACTATTATTATTGATTGTAGTCAAAGTACAAAAGTGGTCTGCTTGTTAGAAGTTGTGCTTATTAACAAGATGCTAGTTCAAGGGTTTTATCCCTAGCACCAGTATGAGCTGTGTTTCCCTAAATAGTTAGTCAGAGGTGTGAGAGAGTGACAAATGAATAAAAACAGCTGAAAAAGGCATAAAGAAGCTGAACTGTGAAAATCTCCTGTACTTTTGTACACAGCCAGTGAGCAAAAAAGCTGACATCCAACCAAAAAAGCCCAAATCAGCTAAAAAGCTGAAAAATCTCACCCCTGTAGTTATCTGTCATTGCTTTTAATAAAGTGAACACTTCTCCAAAATGAATAAAATTTCACTTTATTCCATTTCATGCAGAGGAGGAGTTTTGTTGTTGATTTGGTTGATTTTTTTTGCTTTAGTAAATTTTTTTTTTTTGTAAGTGAAGTTTGGAAACAACATTCCTAGCCACTGACAAGTGTTGTTACAACCAGGCTACAGGCATAGAGATGTACGTATAAATTGACTAGAGTGCTTTCTGTGCTAACTCCCTGTGCAAAGTGAAGCCTATTGGGGGCATCCATGCTTGTGCACAAACCTATGGAGAACTTCAAAATGTGTACTGCTATTAGACCTGTGTCTGTATATTGAACAATGTGTCAACAAAGCTGATAAACCAACCACTTACACTTGAAGGCACAGTAAATCAGTAAATGAGCATTTGGTTTTGCTTGGTGAGTACTACAAACACGTGTCAATCAAATGATAAAACACAGGCTATATGTTATTAGAATTGAGCATTACATTTAGAGTACATAATTTGGAATTTGTTCCCTCTTATATTATGTTCTACAAAACTAGGCATGAATCCAATGTGTCTGCTTCCAGAAGGCAGCAAAACTTCTCAGCCTGGGGAATGACGAAATAGGGCTTTAGAAAATGAAGCTATATGGCTACAGGTTAGATTGAGGCTGCTGCCTGCAAAATTCTGGTTTTACTGATCAAAAGGGTCTGTAATCTCCACATGAAATGACCATAAAAATAATCCAATGAAATTGACAGAATGCCCATGAGTCACTTCTAAGCTAGCTTGTGAAAGTTCAGTGACGGTCATGACAGTGTGCTTCGGTAGGCACTAATTTAACTAAACAACATTACCAGTCATCACTTTAATTAACACGGTGACTAGGAAGGGCAATAACACTTCAGGGTGCATGACATATAACGGTGCATGTAGTTTTTAATTCAACTCTCAAGATCAAGAGTCCATTTGAGTAATAATATAAAGAGGTTAACATCAGCAAATGCACTTTCGCAATACCCGTGTACAGTTAATGCAAGTCATGCTTAGATGGAAATATCCAACCCTACAGGCTCATTATATCTCCCCATGCTGTGAGCCAACAGACAAATCTGATGAGAATTCATTCCGAGGGGCCATTTACACTAACGCAGTTGTCTCAACCTGAGCATGCGTGAGCACTTAGCCAACTGACTACTGCCTATATTGGTCTAGGAGGAATTTCACGCGCACAAATCGCCTGCGTGCAAACAGGATGGCCCCCTGGCTTCTAATTTTGGTGGTCAGATTTGTCTGTAGTGCTGATATTTCTATCTACGTGATGATTAGAAAAGCAAGTCCATAAGTGGTAATGCATTGGGCATCTAAATATGATGAATTTCCTTCACAAAATCTTTTCAAAGGCATTTCCTGAAAGAATTCCATACACGGACGCTACTAATTATTCCCTGCACTAACCTATTAGCCATCTGAAAGCAATAAAGTGTCCTAAAAAGTCAAATTTGGCAGGATTTGTGCACAAAGTGCAAAGTGGCGTTTGCTGTGTCCACATTTTCCCTTCCCAGTGCACTGCAATAAATGGCAATTAATAATAATAATAATAATAGTGTTTATTGAAGAAACGCTTTCCATACCAAGCATCTCAAAGCGCAGTACAATATAGACATTAAAACAATAAAATAAAACATGCACAATCATATCTAACTATTAAAATTAGTTAAAATACTCATTAAAAAGGAAGGTTTTCAGACGCCTTTTAAAACCATCATACGATTGAAACTGATACACTGAAACCGGCAGATTAGGACAACAGCCTGGAGTCAAGCGAAAATAACAAGTCTGGTCATCATGGTCCTTAATGTTAGAAGGCACCTCATCGTGCCCACATAAACAAGGTCATGGTAAAGGCTGGTCCATACTTGGTGCAAAACTTCGGGCACAAAAGTGAATTTGTGATGTCAAATTCAACATGTTCAAGTATTTGCGCTGCAAATTCCCACAAGTTGAACACATTTCAACTTGAGCAACATTTTACTGCAAATATCTTGTGACATCAAATCTGCTTCACTTTCACGTTTGCCTGAATGGATGTGAACTGCATTATCCACTGTGTTAGTTTCTGGAACTTGGTCATGCCGGTCTGGTTGAAATTATCCATTTGGGGAGTAAGAGTACTAAAAAAAACAGCCAAAGCTCTGACGTAAAAGTTTGCCAGTTCCTTTTTTGGACGAATTTCGCTGATTGGATAATACCTTATTTGCATGAGTAAAAGACAGAGTTTAATTGGTTTAAAGTTACAGGGGATGGGTCTGTTAGACAGAACGGCAGTATACATAGTAACATACATGAAATGCGCCATGTTTGTGCATGTCAACATGACCATCTCTTCACAACTGATGAAAATAAGGTAAGATTAGAAAGTCAAATTCTTCTCCCAATTTACTCTTCCAAACGCAACCCAAATTAATTAGGGCCATGGCAATCAAGAGAAACTGCCCCAGTAATACTCTTTTTCAGGGCAGATCTTTATTTGTAAAAGTAAAAAAAAACAAGGGGGTCCCCAATGCAAATTCACAATCCCCCGCCGGCCTTCCGCATGTTCCTCCGTATAGCTAGCTGGATTCGCCACTAAATCATTTCAGCGCTTGCGACGTGTTTGGACATGGACATACATATACTTACGCTTTCACTACTAACTGGACCATCTTAACTGCGACAAATGTATCTCCTTTCCATGCAAAACTGTATGATTTGTGAAATATTTCAGAGTAAACTTGGCAAGACTCAGCGCTCGATCAGTCTTTTTCGCGGGAAAAGTTTGTTTTGATGGTGGCGCCACCAAGCGGCCTGTGAGTAAGACTCCTGCCAACTGAACGATGAACTTGGAGAAACGAGAGATTTTATTGGGGGATTGTCGCAAAATCTTGGGCTATTAGCCATTCAGAGGGCATGTTAGCAAAACCCACATTATCTTTCTCACGCACGTGTTGTAACTGCTGGTAGTTAGCTACACGTACCGTGCGGACTGAGTATGGGACGCAGAACGTGCTCCGAATGATGCTGGAGATCGAGAGTAGGCCTATTTGAATTTAAAATTATACTGTGGTAAGTGTGGATAAACGTAGGCGTAGCTTTGAAGCTTTAAAAATCATCCCAGGAAAACATATGAATGAAAAGTTAGGCCTATTTTGAATTGTCAAAGATTCAAATGACTGACTGTGTAGGCCTAGATGAACAGATGAACTTGTCTGGATTTTGGGCCACTCACTTGCCGAATATCCACGACTCGAGTTACCATAATTCGTGCACAATAATCATGATAGTACATTGACCAAAATTCGTTTTTAAATAAACTAGGTCCTACATTATCTTATCATGGCTTCACTTTCACCAATTGAAAGTTTGACCCAAATGGCAAAATCCTATGGGACCGTCATCTGGTCATGGTCATGGAATAACATTAGCCTAGCTCTACTGAGTGGAGTGTTAGTATGCCCTAGGCCTATTCTTCTTCTTCGATTTTGGACGGGATCGTTATACTAATGCTCCATGCCTGTACATATACTAGTAAGGTGAAAACGGTCCTCTAAAATTCCAAAGACTCATCAAAAATACCTCTATCACCACCTACTGGCTTCCGTAAATGCCAATGTCAAATGGTTGGGCTTCAATGATATATCTGACTTCAAAATCTGTCAAAATCTGACCGTTTTCACTCGACACATGCACAGCACTTAAAGTTTTCACCGTCTGCTCCTTTCAAATGCGCGGATCGAGATTTTGAATCCGCAATAACTCTATGGGCGAAACATGGTCGTCCAAGAAATACGCATGAGTGGCCTGTACGTGATCTGGACGTAAGACTTGTTGATCGTGACGTTTTGGAGTGCTACCAATGACTGTTTCCTCTATGGGCGAACATGGTCCTCTAACAAAACTGCAGGAGAGTCCCAAATGTAGTCGGGGCATAAGACATACTGACCAGGAAGCAGTCATTGGTAGCATTCCCAACCGTCATGATCAACACCCGATGAAGTGCGCCGCCTTATGAATCTAGCTGTCAATAGACGTGCTAAGTGCTTAGACCTGGGTGTGATGTGCATAAAGTTGGAGAAGGTTGAGAAATTTTCTGTAGAAACTTGCCAACTATAGTTGGACGACCCTGTTATGTAAATTCAAAATTTTGGCACAACCTCCCTGTCCATGAAGACCCTGCCACTTTGCTGTCAGTTCAAGATCTCACCACGATTTGCCACACGCTCCTGATTTTTAGGACGTAGTAAGATTTAGTTTGAGTATGATGGGCGTTTAATGTTACGCCTACTTATCGTATAGTTTGGCCATAACAGAGCTATGACATGTATGGGACTTCGTCATTGTGGTCGTCATGCCGCGCTTCCACTGCCGGGAAGGTGGCGTGACAACAAACCCATAATTCTTAAGGTGGTGTAGACTCTGCAGTAGTTGTATAAATCCATGAATTGGGAGCAAAACGATTTAGAACTTACAAGCCACTCAATGTAAAGAAGTGGAATTGGCATCCTTGATAACTTACCAAGTGCCAGTGTTGCGTGTGTGTGAACCATATATGGAGAAGAGCTGTCGTTGTGTGTACCGATGACACCACTATCCTACATGAATTTGATTTTTTTTTGGAGGGTAGGTGTCACATTTCCCTGTTCTTGTCCTTCTGAAGGGGTATGATAAGAAAATCTGTTGAGATTAATATTTCCCTCGTAGCTTCTGCCAGCAGTGAAATATTCAATTTAATAGACAGCTATGCAAACACGGGCAGGCTCTAACATTACAACTACGTAAAATCTTATAAATATCACTGCTTTTTCAGATGGATGATATTGGTACATGTATGTACTTGTCTGAATGAATGCATGGCGAAATCTTTGTGGTAAAGTTGATAATGTGTTTGGTGCTGAAAAGGGTTTGTGTTTATTTGTCTTTTTTAAATGTCCTTTATTGATTTTCCATGTTGCATCTTCCATGCATATATGTGAGATGCTGCACGACTGTGCCTACACCTGTTCATATGTATATATGCATTTAATTTTTCTTCACCCCTTGCAGGTTTGAATAAAATGGGAGAATTTCGGGTCCATCATGTCAAGTTTTGTGACTATGTCCCCAGTGCCATTCAGTGCATTGCCTGTGACAGAGATAGTGGGAAACCATGTGATAGACTGGCTGTCGGAAGGGAGGATGGATCAGTAGAGATTTGGAGCATCAAAGACAAAAATTGGTACCAGGAAAAAGTATGACATATTAATATTGTTAACATGTTTGTGTTTCCCTGCTCTGGTCGGTTTGACCCCTTTACAGACAGTTTGGTGTGTCACTTTAAATTTTGTATGTTTGCTAAAAAACAAGATTCTAACCAATAAAAGGAGAAAGCTGATTTCTTTTGTGTTGGCCTAGTGGCTCAAGTGGCTGCTACCAAAATACTGATCACAATGATAGAAAATAAAACAGGATTTTGACACTAATCCTCACGGACTACCGTATTTCCCTGATGCGGCCATCTCACATACACCGGTAGTTTGTTGTATTTTGTGATCAAGTGTTGTGGTCATGTGCTCTTTTGTGGCAAGCACGGATCATCACGGACACGTGTCAGCTATGGTGTATAGCACAGGTTTTGGCAATTCTTGGCTCTATAGGATTCCAGTAACTACTTGAGTTAATCTAAAGATGGCCAAATCCATGAAGTATCCTCAGTGAAACACTTATGTTCTCCTCTGTACGTATTCTAACAGTTCTATGTACAAAGCTAGTGTTGGATTTTTATGAATTACATGTACATGTTGGGGCTTATGGTATTAAAAACTAAGCCAAATTTTCTTCTGGGCATAAAGTTCTCTCTCCATGTAATTACTGGGAACCTTCCCCTACCCAGTCATAATCTTCCACTCTGCAGGAAACCAATAGCATAATCTTTGAATTGATGTTTTCAAGGGGCTTGTAGAGTGGCAGTGCTTGAGTTCTGGTAGATTTTGAAGGGTTCATATTAGTGAGTTATGCCCACAACATCCTGATTCTCACTACGCCCATGTTAAAATTGACTAATAACTATGCCTCTTAAACTGCTATCTTTCTTTCTAATCCAGGTTGTACCTGGTTCTGAGAAACGGCGGGTGGATTCCTTAGCCTGGGTCAGTGGTAGACTGTTCTCATGTGGCTTGCAAGGAGACATCACAGAGTACAATCTGAAGACGTGTGCTCCACAGGTACTGTCCCACTTGCACCTTGCAACACTGAGTGCATTTTGATCTGGTACCTTTCTTGTCTGCGTCTGTGTTGCCTTTGTGTTGCCTCAAGATGGAACTGTGTGTCAGCAAGTACACAGTTCTCACTACATTCAGGGGATCAAGTTTGTGGATACCCTTCGTATTTGCAATAAGAGTGGAACCAGCCTCCACGGGAATTAGAAAGATTTCTTCAATTCCTCCTTTATAAAAAGCAGTTGAACACTCCAGCAGTTCCCATTTCAGAAGAGTGGTGTATTCAGCACTGGTTATTGAGTTTCAAGTTGTTATTTTTTTTTTCTTTACAGAAGACAGTGATGTATGGCAGCGCCTTTTGGTGTATGAAGCCAAATCACAGTGGGACTCATTTAGCGGTCAGTTCACATGTCAAAAGAGTGGTAGACAAGTGTTTCAAAAGAGAGACAGCAAAGCTGTCCATTCAGCAAATATCTGAGTCATTGTCACTTTATGAAGTATTCGGTATGGACTGCATACTGTTGTACAGTCAAGCTTTCTTTGATGATGGTCCATGCTAATGCATGTGCACTACTAGAAGGCATTGGTCAGGGCTTAAGGGAAATTTCATACCGTGTGGTATGGTAATAGTTTCCTCAAGGGGGGGTTCTGTCCTTGTTTCTTCTCAAAATATAGCTGGATGATTTGTACCTGGTGGCAGTGCTGAGTGGAAGACCATGCTTACTGCGCACTCAATTATTGACACCAGAATGGAATTTTCATTTAATTTCAATGACCGAAGTATCTTCTATCAGATACAAGTAGGTCCTGAAGGTTAAACACGCCCTAGCCTTCTGTCTGTGGATTTGGAGGGTTGAAGCATTGATGGTCTAAGATCATGCAGACTTATTTAAAGTTTGCTTATAAACCCTGAAAAAAAATCACTTCGAATTTCATAAATCCCTGACTCTGTCATAAATCCTGTGTTCGTATTTTGGATGATGTGAATCTTGGGTCATAAATCTCATTTAAGCTCCAAGACATAATCCTTCGATTTGACAGACTGGTGCCGAGGATGGTTGTGTGAGGCTGTTTGAGATAGACGAGGAAGGTGTGACCTTTGACCGCTCCCTGGACCCGGAGGAATGTCGCGTGGTCACATTAGCGTGGCACAGGTCAGACGAGGTCATCGTCACTGGGTCTATCAACACCATTAGGATATGGAATGTTTCAACAGGTTTGTGTAGGATTTCATGCGTTGTGTACTAGTTGGTGGTTTCTTCTGCACTTCAAAAATTGACCAAACTTCTTTACCGACACACAAAATCTTGTGCCTAATATGCCCAGATCATGATCAACAGGCTGACTGTGAGACCCCACAAACTCTACCAAGGTCCAACGGCAAGCAAATGTTGGAATCTAAGCTGATTTATGGATTTTGGAAATTGTTGTAGTTTTGAGAGTCTGCTGGATTCAGCAGGATTCACACTTCAGTTGTTGATAGATTACTTGCACTCGGTCAGCCCTTGTAAAATAATGTGAAAACGAGGGTTAAGGTCCACTTTGCTGTTGTTGCTTGATACACCTTATTTAAGTAACACTGTTTATGTTATGAACAAATTTAAATATACTCATTAAAAACATGAAGAGGCTATTAGTGAGTGATAAATAGGCTATTTTTGACGAAAGTTTATAAAGCGCACCCAAAATATTGTTGAGGTTGATGCAGTGTGTGTGTTGAGGAGTTGCCAAAGTCATGACCATCATGTTTTTAAAAGAAATTAAACTTTGGCCCTGTTGTATGTACTTTTTTTTAGACATTTCACCAATTTTCCGGCCAACTTTGATTTCTTTCAAGAATGCTTCATCAAGATCTAAAACTTTTGTGAGGATTTTAGTACGGAACATTGTTTGAGTAAAGGAACGCTGTAGTCCCGTTCTGTGTGCTGGTTGAGACCTTAGTCACGTCTGGTACTTTCCCATGTAGGTCATGCCATCCAGAGAATCAGCATGCCCAAGGTGTCGTTGCGCAACATGCTCACACCGCCTGACACCATTGTGTGGCATGTAGCCATCACTAGCAACTACACCATCATCAGTGGCGACTCGACGGGGAAAACACAGTTCTGGAATGGACGGACAGGCACATTAATCAAGGTATAAATTTTGAACTTGACGGCGCACATGGAAAGGATGTCAGTAGTTTCTCCATTGAAGTCATTCAGTTGGGCTCATGTTTTGTAGGGTTTTGTAGAGGGGCTGGACGACTGCTTGTCCAGTCGGGTCCCCCCGTTTGAAATTTTGAAATTTACAAATTCAAAGTGTTCACACCAGGGTACACAAACTGTATTTATGAAGGTTGGGTTTTTTCAAATCATTTAATGTGAGACCGCTGTGCATTTTTTTATTCCAAAATCTGATATAGAATGATTTTAGATCAAATCTGAGGTGTTGACATTGGACCTTGTGTAAAACAAATGATTACAATCTTTTTCATTCATTTCAGAGTTTTTTAAGCCACAAAGCTGATGTCCTGACCCTGTGCGTAAGTGACGATGAACGATCGGTTTGCTCAGCGGGAGTGGACCCCACCATTGCGCAGTTTCACCTGGTGGATAAAGATGGCAGCTCAGACACCCTGACGTGGGTTCGGTCTCGTAACCTGAGCGATCGGGCTCACAGTTTGTGCCACACCCACGATATCAAGGCTTTAGTCTTTGCTTGGGACCAGGTGGTGTCTGGTGGTAAGTTACTCAGATGAGAATCAACTTTCAAGACAAATTTTTTTGGTCTTTGCAAAAGTCTTGTTTGGAGAGGCACTCTCTGTTCAGGATTCCAGCGGGCAAATCTTAAATAATGACCAAAAACTCTTTGCACAGTGCACTTTTTTTGGCAGTTCTCTATTTCTTGGTGTCGTTGAGTATAATTCTTCTCACCAGTTCTAGATTTTAGTCAAAGTTTTTCATGTTTTCCGTTTGGTGACGATGGCAACTGACATTTACAACCCTTCTTTCTTAACACATATCATGAAGTGGCTAGGTCAAAGTCATCCAAGCAAGCTACACATTAGGTGTATAGTGTGAACTGCTCTGGACCTGCTTTCTTGGTAATGCGATGTTGATTATTTTCCACACAGCGCTATCTGTTCGTGTTTTACAAAACCGAAAAAGTTACCTCAGGAAAGAACATGCTGAGTTCACAGGCAGAGTATCCTCGAAGCAAAATACACATTAATAGAAATTTAAATACTTGCAAATGTTTGGCAGATGTAAACTGAAAAATACGCCAGAGGTTTGCACATCTTTCTGCTGTGGTTAGGCAGAGTTTTTCTGGTTAACCCTGAATATTCAGCCTGACGTTGACACGGGATGTTTTGTGCGGGCAATGGCATATATTAACCCAACCAATCATTTGGACTGTCCATACACCTTCCCTAGGTACTGACACTAATCTACTGGTGAGTCCTGCCGAGATTGAAATCACTCAGAAATCACTGAAACAGCAGACGACGCAGATCAGAAGACTGATCCCTGCTCTCCCTCAAGTGAGTTTATTAAGCGACTGCTCTTTGCTGCATTACATTTAATGCTGCAAGTAGGTGCCAAAGTTTAGTTTGGGTTCGGTCACGGTTCGGATATGTACACACATGTAAGTACATGTACAATGCACATTGAAACATGGAAGAGCTCGCTACGAACATGCTGTATATAGTACTTCCATGAAGGAAATATGTTAACCCTCCTTTGGTTTTACAGCACAAATATGCACAAGTGCCCACAGTCACTCTGCTGCATGTATTTTCTTCATGGAA